CCCCAACCACTCACACTTTCTATTTCAGTGAGTAAAGAGAAGTACATTGAAGCAATAACTATCATCAAGTGCTGGGAAAAAGCAAGAAATACAGTTTCTGTTCAGTTTTAGTAAAATGTTTTAGGGCACCTGAAACACAAATAAATCATAAGAGCTGAAGATTAGAGATGTTATTAGAGAGTAATGTTCAAAGAAACAAAGGAAGAGAGCAAAGGACAGTGGATGTTTGATAAGAAAGAAGGAACAAACCACACCAGAGCACCTGCCAATAGCCCACGCAGGAAAGACAGGCAGAAGCAAGGAAAGAAAAAAAGAATTAAGATTTGTTGTTGTTGTTGTTGTTGTTGTTGTTGTTGTTGTTGTTGCTGTTGTTGTTGTTGTTGTTGTTGTTGCTAGCGATCCAGTAGCATATGAGCGTTAACTCTTCTGCATGATGCCATTCTATAATAGCACCATGTCTGTTCTAATTGTTGTCTTGCGGGATAGAAGCAGTTAGATGAGTGGGGTAGCTTGGGAAGAAAACATCCCCTTAAATCATTTAGTTTTCTACAGAAGAACAGATGATGTTCCACTGTCTCTGAGGGGTAGTCACACAGTGGGCAGACAGCAGACTGCTTTACTCCAATTCGGTTGAGACGTTGAATTATGATTTATTCAGGCACTTTTCCGAGACCAGATTTACAAAATAAATGTAACATGAACTGCTACTCAAATTACAAAAACATCTCTGTTTTTCACAATACACACTTCTGAGATATCAGGGTCACATTACTGGAAAACTGAATTCCTCAAAACAAGAGATTTGGAAGCAGCAAAAAAGGTTGAATTTTGTAACATGGAATTACAGCGACAAAGCACAGCTGATTAAAACCTGTAAATTCTTTGCCATATCGACAGACCGAAGGGTTAGAACCAAATTAATGGCCGCTGGTTCGGAAAAGTAAAGTTACATGGAATACTGCCCAATTTATCCTTCATAACTATAGTAGTAACACTAACACTAATAATAATAATAATAATAATAATAATAATAATAATAGAAGGAGAAGAAGAAGAAGAAGAAGGAGGAGGAGGAGGAGAGGAGGAGGAGGAGGAGCAGCAGCAGCAGCAGCAGCAGTAGCAGAGAAGCAGAAGAAAGGGGATGAGAAAGACGGGAGGGAGGGTGGAGGAGGAAGAAAAGAAGAAAAAGAAGAAACGAGGAGTAGAAGGACAAGAGGATGAGTTGGATAGAAAGATTACTAGGAACTTTAAAAATGAATATCCCCAGTTGAAAGAAGGCTATTTGCGTTTTCCAATTTATTATTACCCACTACACCATTTGTGTCAAAACGAGGTGGAATCAGGCGCTCGTCAATTTTTGGGCATGTGGAGTTATCGGAATCATCTGAAAGCTTATTCATCTGTCTTGCTTTCAAATGAAAAAAATATCCATCTAGCTTGAATAGACGTCAAGATATATGCGATTGAAGAGGGTGAGGTAGCCTGTTTTCAGTTGTTAAATTAATGAGAAAATGGCCGCCAAAGTTTGGTAACTTCAAAAACCTATGAGTCTTTGAAAACTGAAAATTACATACTGTGAGGCTTTAAACAAGGTTTTTCAGTAAAATTCACATGGAAATGTACTTTCATATCAACATAAAAGATGTTTACCCAAAAAAACAAATTTTGATAAAAATTGCAAAACTGATGGAAAAATGCCCTTTTCTTCCATTTCATTATTTTGACGAGCGCCTGATTTCACCACAATGCGTCACATTTTATATCATTTTACATTTTCAGTTTTTTGTGAAGAGTATTGTTTTCACAAGCGTTCTACTGCCACTTGCAACACAATTAGGTCATAAAAGTGCCAAAGATTAGAAGTGTTACAAGAGAGTAACAAACCAAAAAAAGGAGGAGAGAAAGATGTTCGATAAGAGGAGGCCCAAAAGACAGCAGAGCACCCGTCAACCACCCACTTCTGGGAAGTATCCAGTGCAGACACCTACTTATAATTGGTGATAGACAGCAGACCAGTCTGTGCGTCCACTGAGACTTTATCAGTTATTTCGACCGGCTGTTCATCTCGCCACCACTTATACCTGTAGAAGCGACAAAAAGAAGGGAAAAAAAACAATCATGGATATGTGTTTGTCTTGTGATCACATAAGATCACACACATACATACATACATACACACACACACACACACATACAAACACACACAAATTCATTCACACACAAACACACATTCACACTCAGACACAATCACTCACATAATAGACACTGACACACACACACTCTCACACTCCTAAAAATTCTCTCACTCACACACATACGTACACAGTCTTAAACACACACCCTTACACACCCACTCCCCCCTCCCCCCTCCTCCACACACACAAACATCGACACACCACTCACATAGAGACACACAAATACAAGCACAAACACTGAAATACACTAACAAACGTACCCACGTACCCACCTACCCACACCACGCACACACAAACACCAACACCCCTCCCTCCTCCCCCCCCTCAAACATACGACATTCCCCCCAACACAAACACACACACACACACACACACACACACACACACACACACACACATGCACACACACACACGCTTACAATGACATGCATAATCTAAAAGAGCAACAATATAAACAATAATATTCTTAAGCTAGATACATACTCAATGTTATTCTGATGCATGCTCTAAGGTCGTTTGGTTTTGATTTAGTAAGAGTTTTACAGCACTTGCAACACAATAAGGTCATATTTGAAGGCCGAAGATTAGAGGTGTTACAAGAGAGTGACAAACACACAAAAAAGAAGGAGGGGAGATAGAAACGATAGATTTTTTAAAGGAAAGAAGAAGCAAACCACACCAGAGCACCCGCCAACCACCTACAAAGTAATACTTATTTTGGTGTTATGTTGTTTGTTTGTTTGTTTGTTTGTTTGTTTTAGGAAGTTCATATGAACGCCAAGGGGTGGATGTCAACAGAGAAGTCAAAACGAGGAATCAGGCTTACTCTGCTCACCTCTCCAGCCTCAACAGTACAAAGTCTGCTTCGACTATCAATGCACCCCTGAAATAGCAGTTCACAAGAGAGTGACAAACAGGAAGTTGTCTCACTAACAAGACAATCCCCAATGCCCGGATCGGATGCGGGAACAACTTTACTTTACTTTACTTTACTTTACAGGTGATTGTCTTGCAAAAGTGGCCGTTAGTGCAGGTTCGATATACTAGAAGAAAAAAAATAACTCAAGGGAGTAATTTTGGAAAGAGTGTGGGGGGGGGGGGGGGT